CTAATTAAGTTGCTTAATTTCAATTAATATCGGTCCAGCATTTTCATTTGAAAGTTACTTGTTTTAATACGTATGTTAAACGATCTAAAAGCATGTCAAATTTGACAGAAACGAATGAATAACACGACGTGGTGTCTCTTAACTGACTGTTTGTTCTGATATCACTCTAATTGCCTTTTTAAGCCATACAATTTACAAGTCATCCACGTAAAATTATATTCGGAAGTTGATTCCACTTCTCTAGACACGTGTATGCTGTGATGTTTATAATTATTTGACATAAACAATGTATCGTTTCATTTCGATCATTAAATACTACTAGTCTAAAATTGTCTATCAATAATTGTCAAATTATTATTCATCTTATTACTATAGGGCTTTTGTAGAAATTGTCAAGTTTCATAGTTTACGTTATGGATTGCTTTGAGTTATAAAACCAAAAAGCACTGAGCAGTTACTGTGCCCTAGTATGAAACTCCTCACGTGTACGCATTCACGGCTCGGGCACCAGTCCAGTAATCTAAAGAATAGTCGCTCGTCTCATGACGTTTAGATCTTGTGTTCAGTCTCCAGTGGAGTTGTGAATACGCACAGTTGAGGAGTCCTTTGCTAAAACGAGGCAGCTGTCCAGTACTTCGTGTGTTTTTTTAAACTAAGATCAGTCCCTAATTTGAATTACTATCCCCTTAATCATGTACTTGGTTGTGCAGTTTTTGTCTTCCTTCAGGGTGTATATATTCTTTTTTTCATAATCTACGGTTTTACATCCAAGCTTTCAATTTTAAAAATGTTTTACTTTTTCTTTTCTAGTCGACCAGAGATGATATTGATCCAATGTATCATTACATGTCATAAAATAACCAGTCTTTGGATTAATGATAATAACTGCTTATAAAATAATCATAGTAGTATGGTATTATGAAGCTATTCAAATTTCTGTGATGGGTCAAAACTGTCTGAGAAATTTCAATTAATGGAAGAGAACACACACCAACCTGCTTTTACAACAGATTTACAATATCCTCCATATTTGAAAAAGACTGTAGAAATATTGTCCTGTTTTTCTCACATAGAACTGTTAATTTACGCCTAAACACAAATGCTTACTGCTTCTACCATAAGTCATCCTCTTTTACTTCAGTGACACGTGACTGATTCATTTGTACTTATTTTTCACGTTGAATATTTTTTAAAGCTATCAACTTATCCCCTCCCGTCACAATTCTGTTGGTCCCCAGTTTTCATGTTCACGAACTATCAAATGTACACAACTTCTGCACACCAAGTCGAAATACTATCCTTACTTGAAAGCTTATGATCGGTATAGTATTATTTGTCGATATTTGATTTTTAGGTTTTATTATTGTATAAAATGTTGGTGGAAATTCCGACTGCTTTATCACTTAGCTTTTGCAGTTTGCATATGTGAAATGATGTTTGTTTTTGTGTTAGCACTTTTCTGTTAGGTTCGTCATCTAGAAGTAAGAGGTGATATTTGATTGAAACTTTTAACTCGTGATCACCGGCATATTTTAGTAGCATGTAATTTGATCTGTTGTATATCTCTTTTTGAAGTTGAATATCAAGATAAACTAAGTGGAATCGAAACTACCTATAGTGTATCTTTTTAGATGTTGAATATATATATGCCTGGACAGTTTCCTGGGACCTATTTCACAATGGTATCTGAACTCACGTCAACGGGGAGAGTCTCAGTTCTATATTTATGGAAGAACTAATGTTATTGTTATCAGAACATGATATTGATACAATTAGGAGTAGTAACAGAAATTACAGGGTTAGTAAACACTAAAAGGCATCAGTAGTTTAGATTTGAACGGTTGGTGAAGAAAGATAAGTAGTAGTTAGACTTCAGCACGATAACGAGAAAACGAAAACGGATTTGCCCATCGTTTGTGGAGACTGTGTCTAGTAACATTATCCATGACGGGTAGTAGTAATTCGTTGTTTGTGTCGATTTAACTACGCGGCACATCCAATTCGATTAATTTCTGAAACCCAATAACAGTGTTTGAATTCATATTTTCGCTTATTATGCTAGAACAAAGCGTATAACTCAGTTGACCGAACTGAAGTAAATAAATCAGGCTAAAGATAACTGAAGTTGGATATCTAAAGCACTTATTAACACCACGTTGGAAGGCTTACGATAGCGGACATATCACTGAACTAACTATTATCATAACACTTGGTTATTAGTTTATTTGGTTTCGTGCTATTTCCTGCTGTCCACTGTCCAACCAAGGTCTGGATAAAGTAATGTTGTAACACATTTTCAATGGAATCCGTTTGACTAAACTAGCATCTAGTCTTAGTTTTCGTAGTCATTCGACTAATCGCCAGTGAACCAGTAGATGCATCGACCAAACCATCTACTTTTCTCCAGAACGCAAGCATAATATACTGTTCTTTTACTTACTGTAAAGGTTGTATGTAAATTTTCTTTGAGACTTACGGGGTTATTTGACTTTGAAGAGATTCCTAAACAAATATGCTACGTATTCATATCACCATTTAAAGTCATAATGAGCGGTTTGCGCAAATGATGTACGCCTACTGGCCGTCTTCCCAAATGAGACTGGCAAAACATCTGGCTGTTTATTAAACCGTGAGCACACAATGTAGCAGTCGAGTTCGTCATTTTACGATTGTGGCTATCAAGAATGGAAAATCTGCCTTGTGTTTTTTAAATACCGCTTGTTTACAATGAAACTACCGAGTCAGTAGTGTTGTATTTGGATGAAAGCTGTAAACAAAATAAGTCTATGTAGTTCAGAACCTGAAAGGAATAACGTGGTTGAAAAGTGTATTTTACTCAACAAGTCACTTCCCAACCCGATATCCGAAGTTGTCTGTTATAATAAACTGGTAAACGATTATGAGTAGATAGGAGTAAATGCAGACCAGTGAAAACATTGGTTGTTACACTGGACAGCATAGACTTTAGTGAGATTCATCGGGTTAAAAGTTACCACTTAAAAGGCTCTGAGGGATAATTCTTAAAATTGATCACTGGTGAAATTTACATATTTATCTACTGATAGATCTTAACTATTGTATTGTCGTACATTCATTTTCCCCGTCTACTAATACCATCGTTTATTTTGATTGTTCTTTGTCTTTGTTGCTTTTGCGATTGTGTAATGCGAAAACTTGGAATGTTGTATTTTACATACGATTCTATGTTGTGTCGATATCGTATAAATGCCTTTTTCAAGGTTATATGGGAAAAATGCAACCTATTTAGTCAATTATGGTTGATCTGCAGGTACATGATTGCTGCTAATCTTGACTGATGGTCACTTTTTCAGATATTGTGAAAGGTTAACGAGTGTAAACTGTTATTTTTAGTCAGTTCCCGAATGATATTATGTCCAAGTGCGATGTAGAACTCTCGAATTTAAAAACATTCGTTTTAGTGGATGTGTTATGACCCTAAACTCGGCTAGTTGTCACGTGATTTATTCGCCAATCAAAATACGACTTAATCAATCTTAGCACTGTGTCTTTATTGGTCCTTGTCCTCCTAACCCTGTCGGTTGAGTCCAGAACACCAATACCTGCTCTCACTATACGAATCATTTATTTCAAACATACCTGATTTATATACAAGCCAAACGGATCACATCATACCATAAAAAAGAAAATAACATTTGTACATAATCAAGCCCAAAAGTGGCTGTGACTTTGGCAGACGGTAATTAATAATGTGAACATAACTTGAGAACAGTAAATCGTATAATAATAATCTATAGATCAAAATGAAGCTTATAATAAGAGGAAGACAGATATACATAATCCAGTTACCGAATAGTTATACAATAAGAATATATATATATATAATATCAGTCCATTTACAGGTCTCAGGAATTATTTGTAGGTTAATCTTCACTAGGATATAACAGTATATACTGTCGAGATGGGTCACAAACTACACTAAAACAACTCGTCGGTGCTCTTGTGTTTCCAACAGTATTCCAGCTGATACGAATCATAATGATATCTGTCACTTTTATGCACAGTCGTGCTAAAATGTATGTGGTACCAAGAGATTCAACTAAAATGGGTAACGTTACGCTATTGTCAAAAATTTTTAACTTGTGGGTTATATCTGACATTTAAATGGAGGTCAAGACAACTGTAGATTGATTGATACTAGTTTGTTCTTACCGAAGTTACTCTGTTTCAAATACGGTCTACTATTTCAGATTATATTTAAATAAATACAAACGACTCAGGAAATATAAATGTTATTAAGCTAAGTGAAGAGAATTTTCTTTTCGATATCATCATTTACCTTATCTGCAAAATCGTACTTGTGATTATTCTTTACATGCGATTGTATGTAATGAAATAGAGACGTACTCGATCAGTCCCTCTTGCAGAATCAGTATTATTGACCACTCATTCTTTATTCTCGTTAAGTGGACGATAGTCTTTTACATCTTTCCTGCAAATTATCATCTATTATGTTTAAGTTTTACGCAACTTATAACCTGGCTTACGTGTGCATCGATTCAAGTTTCCACACATCATTAGGACAGTGAGATGACATTGTCAAATCAAATCCCATAATCGTAGAGGTGGTAATAGTAATAGAATAGGCTAAGCATCAGTAACACTATTCAGGAAAGTGATTTGGAAGCTTGGGGAAACTGTGGAGTAAATGAATCTGTGCCAATGCGAACTACTTTGAGACATGTCACTCAAAATCTAACAATTTGCTATGACTGCCTCACGAGCCTTCTTGACTTAAAATCTACAACTTTCCAGCCGTCGATAACTTTGGTAAGTGGTGCAACACTCATTTTATTATTAAGTTCTATATCCGATAATTTGAAAATGTCCAGTTTATTTTAATGAATTTGTTAAATTACGCTATTATCCCTCTGTTTTATTATAGGTTATCGTATGTAAAATTTGTTATAAACAATTGTACACATTAAGTAAATAACATCATTAAAAGGAATTCTTTTCTCACTGAACCATTTCTATTTCTTGTTATAACACTAATGGGTTTTTTTCTTGTTTTAGATGTTGTGTTTAGTTACAAACTTAGATATATTTTAAAAAGATATATTACAAATCTAAGTATATACATATTGGTAAAAATGATTGAAGTATTTTAGATGTTTTAGTTCATAAGAGGTTTTCTGTTAATTGGAAAATATCGTATGTTAAAAAAGTGATTGGAATCCAGTGAAATTTATGATAGTTAATATATTTATTTGCTTTTATCTTTTTGGACTCGGTAACTTCAACATAACAGTAAAATATGACGAAAAGCTTGTCAAAATATAGATTACTATTAAGATATACATTTTAAATAGTGTACACGTATTCTTATTCCTTTTTGAAATATTTACATCCTGTAATTATTATCAGCAGCATTTCCAGACAATTATGCCTAAATTTCCACCACATAGCATGTATAAAATGTTTTTAATATCATAGGTAATTTCAAAACCAAAACCTTCACCAACAGCTACATGCCATGCCGCTCCGTACTTTTTATCCATAGTTTCTTTTACGAAACGAGCTGCTGCCTTAATAATCAAGTGGATGAAGGTAGGAATTAAAATAGTGTATAAACATTGAAAAGAAAAGTAGCAGATAAATTAAAAATATTTAAATTTTTGAGGTTAGCTCACTCAATTTTTTAATGGCTATAAATCAAATTTATTTTAGAACTCTTCTACCCTCTCGGTTCAGCATAACATGTTTGTTTCGTAATACTATGGCAAAATGGAGAATTTTACTTATACTTCGATCTAAAAATTTTGGTCTGGCAGGAACAAAACGATGTTGGGGATCGAAGAGCTTAAAAGATAGACCACAGTAACAGGTTTATCTGTGGTAAAATCTATGTTCTTCGTTCAGTAAAGCTCACTCTTGTGAGCCATTTTGTTTACTAGAAAATATAAATTTTATTACCGGTTAGACTTAGGGTTCTAATAGGCTAGAAAAACATCTCATATTATATATAAGAATAGTAGCACTTCACTAGGTATACAAGTAAGTTGTAAATCAAGTTATCGGTTATCTGATGTGGTATACTATAACATGTTACGTATTTATTGGTGGATATCATTATAAGTTAGAAAGGGATAAGTGTCATTGCACGTCGATTTCATCCGAAAAAGATAGCGGCATATACTATGCGAGTCAAGTCAAGAAAACCACTGTATTGCAACCGAAGATTTAAGAACGTTTCTCGGATTTTGTTAAGCTACGAATATTAGATAGGGGTAGACGCACCTTCATCCTATTGTTTAACCTTGATCGCTGAGGGCTGAATAATTATATTATACGCGTTAATGAAATAATTAAAATTTATATATATAATAAAAGCATCAAGATTTTGTTAGGGGTGTGAACTGTAATGTTAAGTAGCTCACCTCATTATCAGTTGAGAATTTTTCACATGCTGTCACACATAGTTCCATTACTTCAGTCTGCATATCTTCATTCATATCACTATGCTAGAAGGAATGATGGAGAAAAAACTACAAGCAATCTAAAGTTACATATCAAACAATTTATCGGTAGTTTAAGGTATTGTTATACTGGTTACAGAACGAAATTCTGATATGCTGATCTACTTCTTAAGGTCAATATTCATAACTAGGGCTCAAATTTATTCATAGATGATTTCACCAGCCAGAACGCTGCATATACATTTAATAAACAGTGTTGATACAACTGTTAGAAGTAGTTTGTGGGCTTAGCTAGCGCTAGTTTTGTCTAATGCTACGAAATTTCTTGAAAGTGGGTAGCCTTAATGAACATCATTTAGTCGACGGATTCGTGGGTTGCTATGTTTAACATTATCCTAAAGCATACCCAAGGTTAATTATTTTAGAAATTCACCAGCCGAATTTGATTTTCCTGCGCTCTATTCAGTAGTCAGATGGTCGTGTAAGTTAATTTATCCAACACTGTACTGGTTAAATTTATGCTTTTGTGATTTTCACAGTATTCGTATCCTGTTATGTAGACTACCTCGACCAGCAATAACGAGGGGTCGGATGAAAACACATCTATATCCTAGACCATATATTATATCGATTTTGGTGGGAACAGTGAACCACTAATTTTTAAGGTCTTATGAATAAACTGTTAGTGTTCTTGAGCCGTCTTTCTCTTTCAGTTATTAATGCCTCGTCAAAATCGAGGGCTCGTCCCAATTTTTCATTAAGGCTTGGGTTATACTGGGCAATGAGATTATCAAAAGACTCATTGAGCTGTCCTCCAAAAGCACCAGTTCTACCACGATAGAAGCTTATTTGTCAACCAAGTCTCTGAGGTGAGTCCTAACAGTGATCTAAAGTTGTTTTTGGTGTCTACTCCAATCATTCCATTTTTATCATTCACCGCTTCTCATAATAAATTCTGAAACAATCGTCAGTCAGTCAACTACAACGTAGGACCAGGCACATATTTGCACCGCTCATTATACTCAAAGCTTGTTGATATAGTGCTAAAAAAATAATAGCTTTATTTGATAATGTGTTTAATTCAGTAAATAAATAGAATGGGACGCTAAAATATTCCTCGTATTCTTCATCCATGTTCTAAGATGTTTATACTTAGGTGTGTGATAAAAACCAAAAATAATCAAAACATTTAAAAAAATTATTGATATGTACGTACTTTTAATAACAAAATTATTCGGTTAGTTCCCTGATAACTTGTTCATCGTACACTATTTGTACTAATTAAATCACTTAAGGGGGTATTTCTCTTTTCAATAGTAGATCTCAAAAAACTAGCTTACTATTCTATTGAACGATAGACAGTGTGAAAGTTGTAGGTAAAGTAAGTGGTTTTTATTTAATAAAATAACACCTGCTTCCTATTTAAAAGGTTTTAAATGCTTTTCTGAAACTACGTTCATAATAAAATCAAAAGACGCACCAATAATACTACTAACATATTTCAAGGAAGACCTATGAAACATAGAACAAACTCTTCATAAATCTCCAGGGAAGTATTATGGGGGAAATTACAGAGTAATATGAAATGTACAGTAACTTAGAAGTTACCAAAGTATGTGTTGCTTAAAATCTTGCTTCGTAACAACACAATACTAAGATATGCAACGAAAGTCTATTTTTTATATCCGTGTGTTTAGGTTTCAAAAGCAGTCACAAGTAAGCGAAAGTCGGTTAGCACCACTCTAATTTTCGAAGTAAATTTGGGTGACTCGAAAAAATATCAGGATTCTTAGTCTATGATAATTTACGTGACTACCTTACGAAATACTTCTACCTACCGATAACGCTTTAAAGCTTTTGCGAGACAACCATTATCAAAACGAGAGGTTGGTACTTCACGATGATGTGATAACTTTAAAGGTTAGCAGGTTAAAACCCTGGAATGTGTCTAATAGAAACTGCAACAATCTAAGTGATTCTCTACCACAATTGTCGTTAATGGAGAAAACTTCAGGTGCCCTAATTCCTCTAGCAATTTAAAATCGCTGATACTGTATTAAGTGAATCAGTGATCGACTTATAGAATGTTCACCTGCTTATCAGAGTCATATGAGTGTTATAAGTTAGCATGAGGAGTTAATACTGTAACTTACAGTCGGACGTGAGGGTTAGGAACTAGGGATCATGATCTTTGTCCTGAAATGACATCAGCTATAGTGCAAGAATGATACTTAGACATGTACATAGATAGATTTGGCGCTAATATCCAAGACCTGCGATTTTGAATCTGACGGTTTCATCTAAAGACAATCGTTTCGCCCTAAAATCATAAGCTATTTCTAAGAAAATCCATACGACTCACTCATGAATTATTAACTGCAAAGCACACTCTGAGCTGTCATGTGCGTTTTCGCTTAGCTTTTAGTATTTTTAACTTTTCTCATTTGATATGTAGGAACGAATCGTTTGCTTCAAAAATGGACTGTCTATGAATTTCCGATCGCAGTAAAGCAGTTCATTATTGAATATTTTCTAATATTCATAATGACTTGTTCATTTATTAGGTCTTTCCGAGTAAAAAAATTGTATATTTTCTTATGGGTTCAAAATAGTGTCCTATACTGAACTACTGATACGTCTTTCATTTCTGTTTTGTTTATATGCCACTGGACACAACCTCCAGGTTTTGAAAGGAATCCCTCAAAACTTTTGTGAATATGAGACTACATAGATATTGCAAAAAACCATAATTTTAGGAAACTCTCTCAGATCAGGTAGAATTTCATTTGACTTTGCGGATGTTCCCCTAAATTTGGGAGATTAGGGTGCTTTCCTAAATATCAGGAGATTTGTATTTTAATATAAGCCCTCTATATCCAGTTGACAAACTCACTTTTAACAGTGGATATGTATATACTCTTCTATTATCCTCTACCTTCCTAGCTACTGGATCTTCCATTTTTCAGTTGAATTTTGTAGTAATATTTATTCAATCCAAAACTGTGCACACTGTGTAGTTACAGCAGCGACTAAAATGGATTAGTTAAAACAATAGTCTTTATTCATTGCGTTGTTGATTTTTCCGGTACGTGTTAGATTAAAGTAAGGGCTTTCCTGATATCAATAGTCAATGCGTAGTTTAATATATATATTCGGAAATAAGTTTGTTGTTCTTATGCTCATTTGGGAATACTTATTAAGGATCTATAAAAAGATGCTAGAACATGTAGCTCTAAACTTGACAAAAATACACTATGCATGTTTAAATGCTTAAAATTCTGTAGTAACTGGTGATTTGTATTAGATATTAGTCACTTTTTATGTCATATTTTCTAGTTAAGACGCTTCGTAAAATGACAGACCTACTATGGTCTTCATACCTGTTTCGAGTTTCTGTCCATGTAATAAGTTGCGACATTTGTACGAACTGTGAGGCCAGTGAAATATCACTGGTCCCTAGCCAAATCAGTTGGGTCACTGAATATCGGATAAACCGTCAATCCCTTTCATGGTCATGGGCAACCAAAGCACATCAGTTAATCGTATGCCATAGTGGTAGTCACACTTACTCTTGTGCCCATTTTGACTCATATATTCTTACTATAATGTCATTTGTGCTGTACGGTCTTTAAAGCATCCATAGCATCTTGATACGACGAAGGTATAATACACGTTAGATACTAACCGCAAGGAATGACTTCGACGTCAGCTGTTGGACGTACCGTTCCCGTTTAACATCAGTAGGCCCCCAGTCATTCTACAGAGATCATCAACACTGATGGTCTACAGAACTAATGACTCCTTTGTACTTGATTACTCGCCGATTTCGAATTATATATACGAAACGTTCAATTGAATCCATCTACTTCTACTTGTGCTATTCCGGAAAATCTTGGTTAGCACACTAATTCAAATACTTTGATTTATAGTACTGGTGTCGCGGTGGAGTAAACTATTCAACAACTGAATATTAATTCAAGTGAGGATGACTTTGATTACTACCTGAAGAGGTTGGAAATGTGATGCATGACTAAAAAGTATATTAAAGATGATGACTTCATAGCTTATCCTTTGGCGTTTACGGAAAAGAAGCTTATAACCTGCTCAAGAATCTGGCTTTACCACAGAAATCAATTTCATTGTCATATGAATCTCCCAAGTAATTACTACTTAGTCATTTGCTGTCTGTTAGCTTTGAATGCAGAGATATCAAAGTTTCATAAATTGATGCAATAAAATGACCAGGAATTTAAAATTTTATATTTGGTTCACAGAAACAGACCGCGACGTTCATCTTTGGAGACCGATTAGAAACTCAAGTTCATGATCGATTGATACTGGGATAAATATCACAAATTTAGAGGGAGAGATTTTTACAGAAACTCAAAGGTTCATTAAATGAAGTTATTACAGCATGTGATAACTGAGACCGTAAATGACTTTGACTTCGGTCAATGAAAATTTACGACACTTTGTTTAATCGTCGAGACGAACTACATTCTTACTGTGCGTTAAGCTCGCCGTTGTTTATTAAGGGTTCCAATTCTCATAAAAATATGAAAAGTGACTCAACAAAGAATCGCAAAGCAGGTTACCAGAGATGAGCACGGGTTTGGTAAATGTTTACTGTGGTAACCTTCACCTTTGTATCTCATGTGTCTTTAGCCATAGTTAATTTTTCAAGTGTGGTAAAATGGAACACATCTAGTCTGAATGTGAATCTACTGTTGATTTTGCCACTAGTCTCGATAAACTCTGTAATTATTATTTAATCATTCGGTTTTTCTAATGGTCATTTATCTCTATCCACTGTTTCAAAAGGTAGTGTTCATATTGAGAAGCGATTATATACCTCCATCTGTCCATTTCATGAATCTATTGTTGACACAAGCAGTTTGAAATCTTTTGATTCCAACGTTGTAGCATGACCCGCTGAATTCTCAGTATTGGCGATTACTGGACACTAACTGCCCATACGGGGATGCTATGTATTGTTAGTTAAAGGTGATAATGTTTCATATATGCGTTGTGAGTTTTTAGTGAAACATGAACATTAAAGTTACTTTTAAAAAATTTAAAAAGGCTTAAAAAGAGGTTATCTTCATTAAGTTCTAAAGAAGATACTGACGCTTTAATTAGGGATTTGATAGCTGCGTGTGCTAAGTGTGGTGAAAGATTGGGAATTCAGTCTAGAAACTTAAAGTACATGGCGATTAGGTCTTTCTTAAATGAAAATTGATCCATTATGGTTTTCGAGAAGCAGTACATGAGACACTGGACGACTTGTGTGTGCAACGTTTAATTGACCCGATCCGGTCTTCAGCATGTGGTAGCTCCAACGTCACACTCTCAAAGTTTAATGACACGATCACTAGAATATGTGGTAACTCTAAATTAAGAATGTACGTCTGATGGTAGCAGCTGAAGATGTTCTAAATTGACTCCGTGTTTCTGAGGTTTTCTGGAAGGTTGAGGTGAAAAATGTTTACCTTCAAATTCACTTAGATCAATGTTCATCTATTTCGACGATAATTAACACTCCCTTCGGCCTATTGAAACAATCTTCCCTTTTGTTCAATCTGTTCTCCAGCCATAATTCATGGAGTCATGAATCGTGAAGTCAACATGTTGACTTTTATAAACTCAGTTCAATATTCTTCTCAATTACACAGAACCCGATTTATTATTATTATTCTATTATTATTACTCTCTGTTTTCAGATATGGCGACTTTATTGCTAACATTATTGAAACTTGTGTATTATTGCATTTTTGAAGAAACCCGAAGTGGTTTCTTCACAACACTTTTGTACCCATAAGATGTTTGTGAATAATGATAGCAATAATAATAATGTCTCGATAATCATTTCAATACAAATCTATTAATGCTGCACTCAGTTTGTTAGTGCAACTTTTACCGGTCAGACGTATAGATCTTATTAGAGAATCTCTTCGACACTTTGGACGTACACTCAGCACCATGGGAAAAGGGTTGAGATGCTAATTTTAAACTTAAATTTTCTATCCATTTTTGGAAGCAAGATGAATTATCCACTACTACTGTCTACAGCGACGCTTTGTGTCGTAAGAACCAGCAATATAACGTCTAACATTTCTGAAGAACCTATTTAAGATGAAAAAAGAGCATAATGTATTCAGTGTGAATAGAGACTGGTTATACAGAATGAACACGTTTATAAGGCTGAGCCATACCATCGAGTTGGATATTTCAGCGTTAACCACCGTTGGCTATTTAATAATAATAATTTATCCTAAACTAACGGTTTGTTACATGAGGCATGCCATTTTACAGACAAGATCAAACTGTAACAAAATATACCATTTTCACTGTAGCAGACTACTCGGTAGGGCATATATTTTATAAGATCTAAATGTAGGTGGTTTTAGTAGGACTCGTATTGTCGATATCACAGTTGGTGTGCTTTAGGGAGGTAGCGTTCTGACGTGCAACTGATGGCTGAGAATAGATCCATGTGAAGTTGGGGACTTTCAGAAACTGCAACTTTACACCCTTCTGGAATAGCTGAGGCTCTAATGTTGGTTCAGGACGTAGTCACCCGTTCCATATATGTTTTCGATGGCATATCCTGAAGGGTCTGGAAAAAGGTGTAAGAAAAAAGGATGAAAAGAAAAATGGACAATTGTGGTGTTTGAATGAACTAGTAATTTCTTTGTACTTGTTGAATACATGAGTTCGAATTCCAAATACAGTATATTCGTTCGTGTTTATCCAGTACTTCGTGGTTAAATTGCGTTATTTTTGGGGTTCCCAGTTTGCACTATAATTCAAATACTTCTAATTATCACAACAATGTTCTTGGAGGAATAGTTATTGTATGACCATTCAGTCTAATTCTAATACATATTGAGCAAGAGCATTCTAATATGTCAAAGAGAATAAGTGTAAACAATTTATGAGTTGACAGTTGACAAAAGGAGGTGGTTCAGAAAGAGGCTGAGAATATGGGAATATGTGTAGTTATAAAAAATTGTGTTGAAAATAGTATTCTGACACACAAATGACTGTCCCCCGTTTTTGTCGAAGCTATTTGAGTCCATTTTTCGATATGATGGGAAGAAAAATCATTTTTCGATTGATTTACTTATTATGAGTTTTATTCAACATGACACCCATTCTAATTCAATGTGATGATAATTCACGGTAGAATTTGTTTTCTTTTGTCGAATGATATTTTTTTATGTATAACATACGATATTCTTGTATTCCTTTGACATGAACTATAATCACTCTGTGATTGTTATAAATCTAAGTATTTCTCATATATATGATTTTATTCTAACTATTAATCAAAAATGGGTGTAAAATCAGCATATAAACCAGTGTATTTTAGACTATTTTGATCATCGTCATCGCCGTGTTTTGGGGCTAATAAATATTCACTTATACCACTCTTGTGTTCTTACTTTCGCATCGTGGGAATTGCCGAGGTCCCTCGTTCCGAGTATAAGTGATCAGCGTTTTTTTCCGGCACAACAATTTTATAAGGTCTTGATCAGGCTTCCTTAAAAGTGAATTATCTACTTTGTTTGTAACAGGTTTACTCTGTAGAAAGTGGAATCAATTCAGCGTCCTAAACACGATTTACTGAGGTATTTTGCATAAAGAATCGGCATCAAGAACACCGGTTCGTGACATTCCACTAGATTATAAGGAGCCGAAACTAAACGAAATGTTCTACCCCACAGACATCTGTGGATTGAAGTTATCTCCTTACCATCATGTTGGCTGGTCAGTAACGCCATCTTCCCTCTTTTTGTGATATTAGGCTCTCCCACGTTTATGGTAAGCATGAATATTGCTTTAATCGAAGTCCATAGTTGGAATACACCGTCTCTATTAGTTCCATGTTACAAGCAAATCAGATGGTTAAAGCAATTGTACTGTGGGTTAAACGTCAATTTAATATTTCACACTGCTGTTGTATAACGTGATTAGTCTCACTAATGTATTAACGTATTACCGTAATATATGTGAGAGAGAACAAACATTTTAAACATCTGTTTTACCAGATAGTATATATTTTATTATAGAAAATGCTGTCATTATCCGCCCCTTATTATTGCACGCTGTGAAAACTCAGAAGACCTGTAGGCTGTTTGTCTTATTGTAAACAGCTTCGTCAACTTCCTGGAACACCCATTTGAACCATAGATACATTTATACGGACCGCTTACATTTAATCTTTTCCAAATATACTGTTTACAGACCGAAAATATATCATATTCTCACTGCCCATCACTTTCTTACAGCTAAATTATAGTACAGTCTAGGTATCAATGACACTGACCATTATAGTGAATTTCAATGATAAATATATTTCTGCAACACCTCAATGAGTAAAAATTGTATTTCTGACGTTTCGTGGATTAACGCGAGTTACTTCTTCAGGCTAAACAAATAACAAGGCCGTTCGCTAAAAACGAAGCCTGCTCATCACCCTGAAAAATCAATTAAAATTAAAATGAACTGAAATAGCTTCGACGTGAAACGGATACTGTTTTCAGTAATACATTTTAAAACCACACATAATACTATAATTTCAGGTTATTTTGGACCACCTCTAGTTATAAGGTTCTTTATCCACTTATACCTTATTTACGCTTATTTTCCTTAATCTATTATAGTTCTCTTGCTTAAACTGTACCTTAATAATAAGTAGTTATACCCTAACTGTTCCTCCACATATGACTCAACTTCAATAGGAATGGTCATTCTCTAATCTGCTTCTCATCCTTTCTTTTTCTTCCCCACTCATTCATCTCCCTCGAGATATGCCACAATGAATACATGTGGAACGTGTGATTTCCTCATGAGCCATCATTAACACCTTAGATATTCCAGAAGAATATAAAGTTGATGTTTCTAGGAGCTTTCATCTTTACGTAAATGTATTCTTGATTATCAGTTGCACGTCACAACGCTTCAGTATACTGCTTAGACATTCAGATAAAGCACATCTGGGAGCATTTGTGAAGCTCATTATAGCTCCTAAAGGAATGTCAGGCTTATGAATATTCGATAGCTCATCATCTGAAACCGCAAACATAAATAATTTTCATAACCACTTTCATACGTATCAACCAATAAAGTCGTGTGTGAAACAGAATCACCCTGATATTGATATTTTCAGACATATAATGATTTTGATTTAGTTAAAAATCTTCCATAAATTTTCTCCGTTCTACTTAAACATGAGATATTTTTATTTCACTTATTTGTTTACCCTGAAGAAGAGACTTGCATTAAGTCATCAAACGTCAGAAATACAATTTCTTCTCATTGGACTATCACAGATATGTCATAACTATATTATTAAGTTCTACACAATGACTCAGTTTTGTTTTGGGTTGCATCATTTTCCATCGATGAGATATATATTTCTTTTTCATTTATTTTTCGAGCAAACAAAAAACTTACATAACTTAAGGGTGCTGATTTACTATGACCTACTATACGAAACTCAAAATATCCTTAATTATACAGGATACCCTCCAAATTATGTTTTACTAATTTAAAGGTTTACATATCCCAAATTTATCAGCATTCAAGTGTTTTGTCTACTTTACTTATTTAATGAGTTACCCATAGATATTGTGAACCGCAAAGTCTTTCTTTAATATTATATAATCAGCTATCTATCATGATCATCTCCAAACTATATATTTATCAAAAGTATCTGATAGTCTATACCATTAGTTAAGTTCATGGCAGCGTGACATACTAAATCGATATCTAACCTAAAAAGAGCTTCATTATTCTGATTCGCTCGTAACATGGGACCTTTAGAGACAATGAATTCTAACAAGTTGTGGAACACAGAGTTCGGCTTAAAACGGTTTTAAAAAATAACACAAGCACACAAGAGAGCTTTACACCATAAAGGAAGGGAGGGTGGAGTTTTTGACCAACAAATATGATGGTGGGGGAGATAACTTCAGTTCATTAATGTTCTTCGGGCAGAACATGTTGTTCACATACCGTTCCTAATGGTCTAGCGGGATATAGATAATCGGTGGTGTTGATGTTACCTATCTGTGGCAAATCCCTCGATGGCTCATGTTTATATGATTGAAGTTTCACCTTCTACCAAAAATCCCCGTTTCAAGAAAAAGTTGACAATTTTTCAAAAATTGAGTCCACTAAAGATGACTCGGTTATTCAGATTTTGACAATACCCTTACACGTAACGCCTATATGATCGAAGTGTGCCAAATCAGTCAAATCAAAAGTCAGAAATGAAGCGATCCAAAGATATACTTAGAAGGTCATCAATATATCGGGGAGCGTCTAGTCTAAACCGGCTAGTAGTTGCAAGTGACTTGTAAGATATGTAAGTCATTGACGCAGATGATCCGTGTCAAACGATTAAGCGCCTATTCGAGTTAGACGGGAATGGTGTTACGAACCACATCTCGTGGTCAGCATCTAACGTGGATTATCCTTTCATCGTATCAAGGTACTATAGCTGCTTTGAAGGTCGTATAACGCACAGGCGTTATTAGAGAAATATATTAGTAATATTAGGTATAAAGAAGATAGTGCGACCACCACATGGGCCAGTTCATGGTGTTCTATGAATTGGTTCGCGTTGGTTTTCCTCAAATTTGATGACGACAGGTGAACCGTCCGATATTTAGTGACCTAAATGCCGAATGATCTGACCAGGTTTAACGGACACTTCCATTACTCTACACATAGTACAGTGTACGCACTCCGGAACTATTGTGGATGCGTTACCGGGCGCCATCAGCTAGAAGTGTCCACTTAAACCAATGAAATCAGCACCAAATGTTGAAGAATAAGAGAACAACTTATTTTGGGAATTTATTTACTGCTACACTACTAACAGCCTTATAAAAGTGATGGTAATCATAAAGAAGTAACAATTAGCATGGAATAAAGTTTTGTCTTTGTGTCCAAGCTTTGTGTTTCTTTACTACAGTCTAGGGGTCTAAATAATCTTAAATTTTTGTCCAAACTGATGGACATTCTTCAATCATTTTTCGCACTATTAACTGATCCACCCGCCCTCCAGATCCATAAGAAAGAGTAAAAAGTAGATACCTATTTAACCAAGATCTCTCTCTTATAATTCAGACACAGTCCAAGGAACGAAACGTTGGCCATTTGTGGCCTGTAAGGTTTGAAGTTTAACCGCTTAAATTACTTTCGTGCGCTACTTCTGATCACATGCAATGGATATTCAGGTAATTCTTAAAGGGATACTTAAATAGTTCCTTTTGAAATAGAAAATATAATTATACTTTCTTAGGACGCATTTGAAGACTTCATGATTTCATCTTCCAGTTATCCGACCGAAGTTATTGACTTGACTAATAGTGATACAGACACAAAACCCATATCACCAGCTGCTGTTCGACACCTTTCCAGAGAAAAGAATAAAAGCACTTCAAAGGCACTTGCTGAAGCCGACGGCTGTTTCAAAGATATGGAGGAGAAGAATGGTTGTGATGACGAAGATTTTGATATCGAAGATGAAAGCATCATAGAACGCTTAATTGGTCTCTTAGAAATGTTTCCAGAGCCAGTACGTCGCGGTGTTTCTTTCGCCTACAGTGCAGCTTCAGAAGGCGTTGTATCGGGTTATTCTCTCAGCAGATCGGTGACTTGGTTTTTGGTGAGCACAGCTACTGTATGTTTCCTCCCACTTATTCTGGAGCTAGAACGAGTTCAAACTGAAGAGCAAGAGGCAGTACAACAGCGTGCAATGATGCTTGGCCCTAGGGCTGCAGGTGGTGGTTCTGGCCTGGCCGGATTCTCAGCAGCAGTTCCTCATCTTACTCACATAGAACCCAAGTAGAAAACGTATTCTTTGTATGCATTTGTACTTTCACCAGTAATTATAAGCTAATACAAGTACTGTTACGCTCATAACAGCAACCCATATTTAGTTCACTAAGTCTTCACCGTTAATTTGTACGTGAGGTTGGAAGAAAATGAGGGGCGGCCAAACCAAAATATGGCATCAGTGCTTGAAGTCATTAACTTCTGTTCTGTTGTCATGTTGGTAGATGCAGACTACTCGGTTGGAGTCCGCGTGACTATGGTAGCCAATAGTTGGAGACTCTTGGTGACATGGCTCAGAATATATTACAATAGCGTCAGTGTATACTTTTTGTCTTCCCTTAAGCTATGAGCTTAAAATCAGATTCAGATTTGTGTAGTAAGGACAGAAGGCCTACAGCCTATGTAATTCCTTTTCTAGTATGTTTCTCTGAGTGTCCAGTCTTCTCTTGAAAGAGTCAATTGAAGGTGCGGACACCACTGCTTCAGGCAGCAGGTTCCAATTATTGATGACTCAGTGTAAAAACCTGTACGCCACGGGTATTTTACTCGTTCTTGGCTTTTCTACTCACCTGCTATATCCTCTGAGATGTCCCGATCTAGTGGGAGGAAAAAGAGAGAATAAGTTAGGTCCGAAATCATTTCTCAGTATTCTGTACATCAAAATTATATCTTTCCTTAGTCTGCGATAGAACAGAGTAAAGAGGTCCAGTTTTTCAAGCCACTCTTTGTATGATAAACCCCGGAATTGCACGGGTAGCTGCCCTCTGTACTTCTAGTATGTCCGAGTCACCTTTTAAGCAGGGGCTTGCAGCCTGAACACAGTTCTCTAGCTTGGTTCTCACAAAAAATGTATATATTATGGTGAACATGGTAGTATCTAACTTAGTGAATGTCCTTTTTAGAGCCCAGAGGGTTCGAAACCCCTTGGCTGCGACCTCCCTGCAATGGGCCGTCGTCCTAAGATCATTACTCACTGTCACCCTTAGATCCTTATGAGACCGGACTTCGGGTAATGACACATCCCCTATGTTGTATGTATTAAACTTTGAATCCCCCAAGTGCATGTAGACACACTTTTCCGCGTTGATAGGCATCAGCCACTCTTTAGACCAGTTTATCATTTTATTTAAGTGTGCCTGAAGAGCAAATGCGTCTTTGTCTCCAGTTATTACTCGCCAAATTTTTACATCGTCAGCGTATAATAACATTGGAGACTGTACTATACTTGTAAGATCATTAACGTACATTCTAAAAAGTAAAGGACCTAGGACGGAACCTTGGGGTACTCCGCTAAGTACTGGTCTCCAGATGGAGCACTTTGAATTTATTCTCACTTTTTGTCTACGATTTACTAGGAAATCCTTAATCCATTTTAAAAGAGGTCCGGCAATACCAAGGTTTTCCAACTTCAATAGCAGTCTATTAGTTGGCACCTTATCAAAAGCCTTACTGAAATCTATGTAGACAACATCCACTGAGTTTCCGTTATCTAGCGCATTAATGCAGAACTCCCTTGCTTCACATCTTTCTTTCTACCAACTAATTCTTTCTTCATGTACTATGTCCTTATATGCAATCTTTCTTTTATATATCACCACCTCTGAATTAACTACTTCTATGAGTCCAGTGTCTATCTTGTTGTGTTAATGAGGTATGGCAACTCGGACCGATGCACATATGTGCCTGGTCCTACGTTGTAACTGACTAACTGAGGTTATTTAGCCTAGTGTGTGATCGAATTCATTACTTTGTATACATATTTAATGACAACGAATAACGGAGAAATGCGCATCGTTAATAATCACTCGGTTAACGTTACAGAACGTAATACCAGATGCTGCACATGCTTATATTCAAGTCCGTCAAGTATGATGTTGTAATGATCTCTTTACGATTATCATCCTATTTAGTTCGTATTTTCTATTTGGTATGGCAGTCGACCAATTTGACACCCAAAGTTTATTACCTTACTTGTGTTGGGTTGTCGGATAGCTTAACTACTTGAAACTACCTAGTGTGAGGCGACACTTATTTGGGGTCTAAAAATCCTTACTCCATTTCCGCCGTGGGTGTATATGGGAAAATTTTAGCTATTAATATGTCTATAACCCGCTGCTACTTGGTTGTTGGCTTAGTTTATTTTCTTTATCTGTTGACAGTCATATATTTAAACTTTATCAGCATAGGGTTGTGTGGAACGTTGAGTTTTTATTGAAATCATGAACCGGTCAGTGTTGGGTCTATGATGAAAACCTAGAAGTCAAGCGATCTTGCGAAACCGAAAGTCCTGGATTTAAGTCCGGGTTCAGGTTCGCAATGATGGTCTGACATTGTTCGGTTTATAATCTTAATAAAAATCTCACTTGTAGATGACCATTAACCTCTGCTCTATACAAGATAAATATTTGTATATTCGCTACGTCAAAAATCTCTGCGTGTTTGATATCTGAAGCTTTTTCACCCTTCAATATCAATATTCTATAATATATTTGACTCAGATTTAAGATGAATTATTCTCTAATCAAGCCATGGTAAATATTACTTGTTACTCAGGAGATTATTGTCTTCGCATGAAATTGCACACAAAGTACAGAAACACTTCCAGATAGTGGAGATTTCGTTGTGCTCTTACATTCCAGCAAAGCTTGTTGTACTGCATAAATAGCCATATTTGGCTCTACACTTAGCTTTTCGTTTAGAATGGTACTAAAATTGATACACTGGTTCTCCGTATCAGACACAATTAAAGGCGCTGCTTACAAATCAGGTAAATTATTGAAAAATCATGTCTACGTACTCGAGATTTCAGATTCCAGTACTCCATAAACACCCCATTATGTCCTTCAAAAACCTATTGTCAATCCCTAGTTTTATTTTTTTGTCGTTACTACTACTACCGCTACATTTTATCTCCCATCTTTTTTAGTTTCATCTCGTCGTGCTAGTACGGCATGACAACATGGTCAGGCACATTTATACTAGCTTCTATGTTATTGATGACTGTCTTAGTATCGGGAAATCGTTGACTAAATATGCGGCTGGTATGCATATAGACTAGTTAAAAGGCAATAATTGTGGATGGGTTTAAGATCCGCTCATACCGTTATCTAGTTGTAGACTAATTATGATTATTCTCTGAGAAAGTAAGAGCATGAAGACAACTGTTAAAATGTGAGATATATGTCATAAGTTGTGTAAGAATCAGTACAAAAAGGATTGACTAATTAGGTGGAGCTCAGGAAAAAAGCGAGAAATAATTAAAAAGCATGGAGAAAGGTGTTGCACAACAAACTCTTGCAATTGATGTTACCGAGGCAAAGCAAAATTAACAACATTGCCCTTTTGTGTAGGTAGGTTTAGCTTGGATATTCTGATAACAATGGCTTCAAAAGGACGCAGTAAACTCAATATCGTTTGCTTATTATTGCGAAAGATTTCCGGAAACTAACGTCATCACTAGGCAAACGATCGCACTACTAAAAATTTGTTTCTCTTTATGCAATGTATTCGGAGACGCAAACAGTAACTCTCCTTTTTGTCCTTTGGCATGTACTTGTAAACTAGTAGACATAATTGGAAGTAGCTCAATATAGGAGTTAATTCACACTCGACGTTTAGTGTAGACGTTGTAGCCACTATATTATTTGATATTTTCATCTGATTTACTTCTTAAATGTCAAAATCTGAGTTGTACTAATAACTTCGAAATTTTTTCTTCAAGATCACTAATAATTTTTAATCATTACTCTATTAGATAATTAAATAAATTCTTTCACTTATCCATTGGAGCTTTTATTTCTCACGATCGCTTTGTAATTCTGTCTAGAATTAGCCAGTGATAGAATGACGATATATAGAGACACAATGGAGCCATCTGATAAGGTTGGGTCAAAAACTGTTTCTAACTTAATAATTATAAAATGACTGGTAAGGCTTGATTTTAGTCACTAAAGTTGTACATTTTTGTACGAAGTGTAAGAGCACTGTATATGTAAACATAATAGGAATAGTGAATGAACTGACTCCGAAAATTTATTTACGGACGTTGACGATACGTCTACTCTCTAACGGTCAACCTCGGTGATGATTGGCAAGACTAATAAAAAACCCGTTTACAACTGACAACCCAGTCAACCAGAGAAGAATCAACAGACACAAGTGGGGGGTGCTGGTTTGCTGTTAGTTATCTTTTATCTTTTATGGAATCGTGTTTTAAGTTGTTTTAATAATTGGGTAATCACATATATTATCTCTTGAATAACTTGTCGTTTATCAGTCACGGTGAATAAATGTGGTCAAGTTATTTGACCATAATGTATATAAAACATTTGATTTATACTACTACATACATGATTAACTCAAAAAATCAAAGTAAAATTACTTTTTAAAAAATACACTTTAGTTCTAATAGTAAGTTATATTTACAGCAGCCATTTTTACAAGTAAGATATCTTTTTAGTTAACGGTTTTTGGTGCACTCAATTTATTCAACCTGTGATTTGGTGTCCAGTGTCCCAAACTTTGGTTAGCATAATAATCCATGGGATAGGCTTCGGATAAATCTCGAGGCCAAAAAACTTGCTCATTTAAAGCAACGAATGCTTCGTATGGTGTGAGTAAAGGTTTAGTAAACTCAACACCCCAGTCAATACTAAGACGAGGACATGCAACCTTTGGAGCAAAAAAGAATGATGAAGTAGCTCTTTTGAGTCGACAAATTTATGCAATAAAAGTAAAATGTTATATGATTAACAAGCATGTGTAAAATCTACACCTTATTGACTTAGAGTATGCAAATGGCATTGTTGTATTCGATGAGGGTGCTGGAAAAGTTCAGAGTTTTCTAAAAGCTTTAAGTGATGATGGAAGGATGGTTGGGATACATTTATCCTCCTTTATGTTCAAAATATTGCTTGAGGACTGATTTGAATCAATACATTTTCGGACCATACAGAGTAAATTAATTACTGATACATGACGACACCCTCATTTACCTTGGAAATTCCGAAAGGGTAGTGAATAACGAATAACATATTCCACCTACCGCGCCTGTGGGTTTGTTTTTTTAAAACAAACGAGAAGTATACTGCACAGCAGTTGGCTTTATGTTCTTGTCTGTAAAAAACAGCCAGCGAAGGTTAAGGACAAGTGTATTTCTTCAAATTACTGTCTGAGTGTGGTAGAACCACATACTGAATGTAAGCATAATGTTTAAAGTCGAAATAGCAAGTCGACTGATCAGACTGTGAATCTTTGCCGACTCGACTGTTTACAACATTTGCTACGTATGTCCAGCCACCGAAGTGCTAAGCTGGATAGGAGAGGAGCAGGTCTAAATAACGTATGGATGCGCTAGACTAATTGTAACATCGATCCATTAAGTCATTTACTGTCGTTTTTGTCTTTATAGCAGTCGTTTGGCGGATTAGTTCGACTATTCTGAGTGGTTGAGTTGAGGTTCTTTTAGCAAGTGTATTTGTAGATGGAAATAACGAGTTCATAACGAAGTCAATTCTGATGACGAAACGTCCATAGTCGAATGGAGTGGCTTACAAGACATCAAACATATTATGTCGCCCATTGACAAAGCGGAAGAAGTTTAGCACGAACCAGACAATTTATTATTGGAGTACATCTTAAGTGGTTATAGTAAATCGCGTTTCTAATTTCCAAGCCCATCAAAAGTACTTCAACCATAAAATCAGGTCATTTTAACGCTTACGGCACTTAAAAATTGTCATACGCATATATGAATTGAAGCCTAAAACCGAAAAGTTAAGGATACCTGAATCCAGACGTCTACTTGTTCATCGAAAAGCGCTAATTTACTTGGAATTATTTCAGACAGCAATAGTATAATGTAAGTCTTTCCTGATTTTTCCAATTCTGTCTGAAGTTGTTTCACAACGGTTGATGACCCTTGTTTTCCGAGTGTACCTATATTACAATAAGAGGAAAAGTAGTACGAAAACAGTTTCTCAGTTTGATGCCGGTGAGGTTAGAGAAAAGCAATGTATTTGAGAAGGAAATGGTATTTATGAAAATTTTCTGAGTAAATGGTTGGTGAGGGTTTGATTGATTTGGGAGTAATTTTCTCCACATTCTAGTTCCAACTAGAGAAACAATGAGAACTAGTAAACACGGGATGGTTGCTTTAATAAAATAAATATTCAAGAGATGTACGTACACTTCATAAGAGATTAAACGTAAGCTCTCCAGGTTTCGTGGAATTTTTTGTCTAACCAGTAAGTCGAGGTTCGTTACCTCTGGAGCGATCGATTGGGCAGAATATAGTTTTGAAAGAAAATTATCAAGTAAATACAGCAGAAGTTAATATAACCAGAATGATGATAATAAAGTCATAAGTTGTAGTTTACTTACCCAATATTATCCCAAAATTGACAGCATTTCTTGCGGTATCAACAGCTTTTTTTCTATGTTTACGCATTACTTTATGATCATAGTATTCACGCGTAAATGACTTATTGTAGGGATCATAACGATAAGCAGCTAACAACGGATTAGATATCATAATAGATTCAAGATGAAAGCGACCATCACCCACGTAGATTAAGGCATCAACACCTTCTACCTGTTTAGGAAGAAAATATACAGATATGATCGGAACAGCGATTAAAAGTGTTAAAGAGCAAACAAGGAAAGTGATGAGATAAACTCTTGCGAATATCTCTCTGTGATTCAACCATTCGTTCACGAGTTCGGATACCGTCTCCTCCCCGAACTTTGGTTCGGACAGCTGGATAGTGTTGCTAAGTTTTAGAGTAAAAGCAAACCTCGCTAAATTATACTTTGTTATCGAGCCGTTTGGCATAGTGAGTGTATATTCGCTAGCAAAAGAAATCCATAAAGGATAAGAAATATCACTAGCAACTTAAAAATATTGAAGTTTTATGTACAGCCTTATTCATGAAAGGCTGTAATGTAATAAAAACGATTCAGATGGCTTGTGATCCCTGGTCAGGAGCATCCTTATGACTCTATGCACTGAATCTTCAATAATTCCAGAAAAAATGCATCTTCACTTACACTTAGTAAAACAAAGTGAATTGGTAAAATGGACGACATAATTTAAACAGACATCCAACTTGCAGACAAAGTAATGACATTTTCTTGGCACAATTGTAAGCTCATCTATGTTCAACCACTGTACAACGCATCTACTGAAAAGGAGAAATCATTATTACTTGATCACCACTAACTTTTAAATACTGACATGTTAAACAAAAAACAATTATGTGAGTAATGTGGTTTAACATGTGTTTCTGAATACTGCATCTGGGACAAGAGGATGAGATGGTTGTCAGTTAAGATGATCAGATCACTTCAGGCATTCGCTAAACGAATCCTTACTTTGAAATGACGCAGCAGACTGATATATATATATGGAGAGTTTATGAAGATCAGACCATTTAGCGCTTGACACTTTATGCTAAATTAAACTATATTAAAGAAAGCACAGAATTAAGTAAAGGTAACTGAATGGAGATATTCAGTCGTACTGATATAGAGTTAACTCAGTCCCACTCATACTGAAGGTAATTTCTTTTGGTTACTGAGTATTCTGTCTACATCAGTGACTTTAAATGATGTTCGATAGTGTGTATTGTCATCAAATTTTATTGGACGTTAATGTGTCAATAGTCACAAACATGTACCATTGAATACTGTGATCGAATATTTAAGACACTGTACATTGTTTTACACAAATAAACAACAAGACAAGAACTAGTATAAAACTTACTTTAGGAGATGTACATCCAAGTATTTCACCAGGCGATAAAGGAAGGCACTGAGGGATGGTAACTGAGTAGCCGGCTTCTGATAATGGTTGTTTAGCAGTCTGCAAACTAGTAACAAATTGTATTGTAGAAACAAGCGCTAAACGGGAAGACCTCTCAAAGTTAGCCTTTACACTATCTATGAGATGGACGATATCGATCTGAATATCAACAAATACGTATCTATGTACGTACAGATAAGTAAAGAAAAGAAAACCACTGAGTGTTTTAATACAAACCTATTATATACATGAGAATTATGTATCACAGAAAGCAAGTTTGCCTAACTAGGTGTTACAGTTATAGTTATGACTTATTATTTGTAAACATGAACCAGACCATCCCGGTGATTAACAGAGAATAATGAGAACTAATACATCTGTTTATACTATCGATTATCTGAATGTGATAAAAATACAACATAGTTTTTCATAAATTTAGGAAAGGTGGACTTTAGAGTACCAATTAAATTCATCTTGAACCATAAAAATTAAGACTTCTGGAAGATTGTAAGTTATTACACAGTAAGATCGCATACTCAACGTACAGAACAATTTTTAGGATAACACGAACGCCATGTCACTCAGAGTGGCTTCCAGAATGTCAACAGGGAGCGCGGTCCTTGTGACTGTAAAACCGACATCCAAGTAGGTCATTAATAAACAGCGGATAATTATGTTCCTCATTTTTTTTGTAAAAAGTATTTATTAATCTGATTATACTCTCTACTGGATTGCCCCCAAATGCCCTGATACGGCCGGGAGTGGGAAGAGTCCGTTCTCCCTCTCGAAATGCTCTCACATGGCCACGCGTATATAGCCTCTGCCAGGGAAGTCCTACTCACTGCCTTCTCGTGGCATTACTGTTGTTTACGAAATCGAGAGGACGAAAAGCGAATGTCCGACGCTTTAACCGGGTTGGTGAACATGAAGAGCCCACCTAAGGGAGTTGTAAAACCCTGATTCCAAACCAATAATGTACATAGGCTCCAGTATCCTGAAGGAACAAATGGAGTATGAACCAATCGTTGGTCACCGACTACCATGGGAATGCATCTCCTTACTTTGCTCCACTGACTTTTGGATCAGACCTTTAGGTCGAAAGCTCCGGGTGTGGCCCCCTAAGAAAACCACCTGCTTCGGTTTGGGCACCCGGACAGTATCACAGCCCTCACACATACCAAATGAGATCTGTGTGGCGCATATGTATTTGGTGCCTCCTCTATTGGAGATCGGTAGCAATGTAGAGAAAAAAATCCCACTGTTTATGGCCATCGAATCGAGAGCGGATGGCAGAAGAAATCTAAGAGCGAAACGTCATACGGTGATGTTTGTTAGTGTCGAACAACAGCGAAGACTTTACACATCAAATTACATGTTATGGATATATATATATATAGCTAATCATGAAACAAATTATTTACTAAGATAGTAACAAATCAGTCGTCAAAATTCAAGCTAACAGTTGTAGCATCTTATGATTTAGTAAATATCAGACAGTCGTTCATACCGTGATTAACAGCTACAAATTGCCCATACAGATAGTATGGAACATATAAGACTAGTGGTTGCCGGCAGGCATGTATTTGATAAAATCTATCAACTCAGTAATAGAAAATCGAAAAGACAGGAAAAGGATTAAAGACAATAATACAACAACAGTAGAAAAGTGGCAGGAAAAAAGTTATCAATTTATTTCATGATGGAAGCTACAGAGTGGCATATTCTTCATGGATAAAATGAAGATAGTTTACGTATCGGGTGCCTTATGATTTGTTGTGATTTACACCATTTAATATTTGTAGTCACATATTAATTTATCTCCCGGACCCAAAACAAAGGACTGAAATCTGTGTATTATTGCTAAGCACGAGACAATGATATTAAAACAACTTTTAATCCATTAATTACGAGTAAAAAGCGTAAATAAATACTCTGAAGCAAGAAACCTACAGAACAGAAATTGAGTCCAACGGTACCAAGCAACTATGACCATAATGTACAAGCAAGTCAACACCAAGAGCTTTTGCAGTCAGCTCCTCCACACAACAAGCTCCATAAGTCACATCGCCCAAAATTACAACATCAATATCTTTAATACTGTCCTCACCTACAGTAGTATCGTTAGTAGATATAGTAAGAGCATGACCTGAGGTTTTATTACTACGAATAAAGTAATTTCGAATAATTTCAGAAATTGGTACTGCAAACAAGAGCAAACCTTCTGGCATTTGTAAAGCAATCCGCCTGGCTCGAAGACAATGTATACGCCATATGGTTTTATGGATCTCAAAATTATAGTGAACTGGTAAATATTCTGATATAGATTTATTTAATAAAGGATCATCTAGAAGCCAGTCTGGTATTTTCCATGGGAGAATACGTTTAGTTGGCATCTGTAATTTCAAATATAGGGTACATTTAAATACAAGTGGAATATTATTTGCATAGTATTTAGTAGAAAAATGTTCAGAAAGTATATGAAATTCCACAATTATACGAGATGATAAGCTATATATTTATATTGTGATTGTGAGTGGCTTATTGTCTGTGTGAGCAAAAAATGAAAACTTCAAACAAGACAACAAAAAAGGCACTTAATCGCATGTTGTATTTTCTTTCTATGGCTTGTTGGACTGTATCTGTGGACTGATTGGATCTAATGGTTGTGCCCACATGCAGGTAATGCAAACTATTTGTGCAATAAACATTCTGTGATTATGGAATATACATGTTGCTACGGCTCACTGTAATCGACTATCTCCGCTGCAACATATAAATAACTCCTTCAATTTAAAGAGAACCTAGTTATTTTCCAGTTAAATTGTAAAAAAAAGCAACTCACTAAAAGACAAGTGAATAAAACTATACTTGTTAAATGAGTTAAATATCCACTTGCTGGCACTATACATCTTAAGTAGCTGGATACTTTACAGCGTAAACGATGTATATATACATATATATATATCATAAGAGCAAAATTTGTAACAAAAGTTCTCACGAAGAGTGACGAGAACACATTTTTTCTGACAGAGCTACAAGTAGAACATCTTATCGTCAGCTGATTTCGGTCTTATAAACAAGCTATCTACGGACATAAAATTAGTTTTATAATTATTACGTGTAAACATTTTGACGAAGTTGGACATTTTAAATGCGAGTAAGTCAACAGAACAAGATGAGCTACAACTCAGACAGCTTACATAGCTTCTTTAAGAATGGCGTCAGGATTTATGGGTGGCATAAGCACTATTCCTAAGGCAGGCTCTAAGTAACATGCATCACGTACACTAACTAGCCTTATGAATGCCGTTATATTAGCTTTAATCTCGTCATAACCCACTTAGAGCCCATACTGTTGTTTACCAGGGAACATTATTTTTATGCACGAAACAATATGTAGTCCCACTTTATTGTTACTCATTATTAATGCATTGATATGCGATAAGCCACGTCGCTCTATCAGATTACTCCGACAAGATGAATGTAACAAGAAAACCAAGAGAGGTCGAAATAATGTAGTAGCAATGATAATAAGGAAGACTGGATATTGGGAATACAGTTCAAAAACATAGAGTGGGAAGATATGTACGAAGGAAATTTGGAATTCAACATCTAGAAAAAGACAAGGAGTGAATGCATCTGTACCATTATGAACGATTCAAAGCCATGTCACCAAAAGTCTTCGGCCAGGGATTGTGGTTATTGCGCGGACTTAAACCCCTTAATCTGTATCTACAAACGTAGCTCAGACCAAGTCAATGATTTGTCCTGATTTGACTACTTTATTTTATCGTTGATATTAGGTATAATTTTATGATTCGCGGACATTACAATGTCTGAGTGTTAGCTCTAGTAGAATATCTACGTTGAATACGATGAGAAAAAATAACTGCTGTTCTGAAATTCCCTACTTTTTACCGATTTTTGAAAGACTGATCATTTACCTCGACATTCTAACCTTAATACTTAAGGAAGTCTTAGATGAATTTTATTGATGCGTACTTATTTTTTAAAGGTTGAGTTACTATACGTCTAGATAAAATACGCAATAAAAGTAAGTTAGTCAAAATCAGAAGTATAATAGCTTATAAGAGTTTTAGGAGCACCTGAATATTACGTAGAGCCTTCAGCCACGTATATGTTGAAACTTCTATGCCCCACACAAAGCCAAGTGCTGCAAATAAGTAAATAGCACCTTAACAGGAGTAAACTGTAGAAAAAAAAAGTTAAAGAAGCAGAAACCAAGTTGGTTACTGGAATTAAAAAACTACCGTACGGTAAAAGACCTTAACTAGAGGTGACTTGATCACGGTTTTCAAACTATTTAATACATTGGCACGTTACTTTCCCTAAGAACATATAATTTACGAAGGCACTCTCTAAACCTTTATAAGTCTAAAACAAATTGTCAGCACAAAACCGAACATTTCACAATCAAGGATTCAAACCTGGGACTTCGGGCCATTAAGTCTCAGGTGCAAACCCTATCCTGGCTACTTAGATTTGAGTAGTCCGGTGATATCGTTCTCCCTCATATGCAAAAACCTCAAGGACTTGATTTCAATGAATTCCTTGTGATTGGTCAATTAGTTGGATTCCTTACTTCAACACGTGATTGGTGAGCTACTTTCCAATTCGCTCAAAATGGAATTGAGCAGGGCTACAGATTGTGAACGAACCAAGCAGAAACACAATAGTGAACTTCGATTTTGACGCTAGATTATCTTGCCCACAGAGTTAAATAAAATCTTGGTAATACATCTGTTAATTCATAATGAAAATCCCACTTACATTTAGATTTAATTTGTAAACTAAAGCCCCCACTGAAACTATCATGCGCCAGCCTACACACTATTATAAACTCTTAATACATCTAGAAAGTGCTCAACCATGGTTGAGCTCAACCACCGAGCTTTTTCAAATCTACTTAAGTATCGTTTATGAGTCAAAGAATACAGTCTAGTATAGATCAGTCGAGGTCTTTGATCATGTGAATTGATTTTATAAAGCAGTTTTGTTTATTTGAACATATGCAATGTTTGTTTATAAAAAAGCAAGGGGATGCATTAACCTTGTGGAAGCGAAACAAGCGCCTAAAGAAATTTGTCAAGGCATGTGAAGTAACAATTTAGTTGGTTTTCATTTTGCATCCCGAAGATGGTTATCCTGGCCGGTCTGTTCAGTTTCACATGATTCAAAGTATTAAAATGACAGAACACTCATTAATGTGTGACCTCGGACAAAATTTGACTAAAAGTTGTTGATTTACTCGGGCTTCTTAATGCGGATACCATTTCCAGTTTTTCGGTTCCTTTAATTGTATTTAATAAGTGATTCGTCATCAACGGTCATAATTGTCAGTAGTTCTCTTTTTAGATGCTCTAGATACGGCTAAATTCGGTGATGATTGTATCCGGTTAATTAAAGTATAACAAAATATGGGCAAATATGTAGATAGGTTATAAGAGTTGGAAAGAACAATAAATTTGATAGAAGACAGGGCAAAAAGAATATGATGCTCCTTAGTTAATTGTTTATTGTTAGGTAAATAATACACTTAGTCTTTACTGTTATTCAGCAATGATGCATGATAGAGAGCCTTCATCCGTTATTATCCTCTGAAACTAATAAGACCATCTTATGTTGAACAGTTACAAAGCCGCGTACCTTGAAGGTTTATTCGCGGTTAAAATTATTTCAGTTGCAATTTCAGGAACGAAGACTTGCCTGTCCTACGATTTAGCGTATACCATGAAAAACTAGGTTCTTCACGTTAAAGTTATTAACACTGCTTGTTTGGTGTCAAAAGTTATCATTGGTTTGTTGACTTACGGCGTTCAGACAAAACAATGTTGCACTGTTAAGTCAGTGCCTGTGAAATTGCTATATAGCTTGTCCTTTTAAGCAGGGTTTTAATGTCAGAACTTTTGAGTTGGTTCGAAAAGCCTATCGCGAAATTGCATATGCTCCGTATATCGAAGCTTCACTTATACAACGAGTAAGTAATCCAAGTCCGCTATAGTTTTAAAATCTGAAAATCAATGTTAAATACTCAGAATACATGGATAAGTCATACGAAACGCTGGATGTAAAAGTCACTCAATTATTACAGTATAAATATCGTATAGTTAAGTTTGTTATAATATAGAGACACAAAATGGCCGTTCCCACAACAGTTTTAGCTGAGACGATACTGACTCGATAACTGAAATTCATGTACTGTCATTTTAATCTGCATGGGAGAAATGACTCCGTGAACAGTGAAACTATATGACAATTAGGGTTCGTCCCATGTGTATAATTTGTATGAATGTATGTATGGGCTAATTTGATTGAGTAGAGCTACCGTTAGTCAAATGCATACATGTTGAATTTGTTCATGCTTGGAGGACATTTCGTCGCTGACATTTATATAGTCACAATGATATGGCAAATACAATACTAAAATTATTAAAACCTTTGTATTATTGCATTTTTGAAAAAACCCGAAATGGTTTCCACACAACACTTATGTGCCTATAAGATATTTGTGAGTAATAACATATTCCATGTGGAAAGCAAGATCACACCTGCTCGACCTAACCGTGCAACTCCAAGCTGTCCCTTATTTACCATTTCTGACCTTCTCTATGGTTTTAAGTTTAAATTGTAAAATTTCTGAGTTATATGTTCAGCTTCAGGGATCGTGAGGATGAAAACCAACATCACTACATAGCCAGAACTATTTTAGCACTGTCCATAACGTGGGTAATGTTACGTTCAAGTTTTCGCTCGCTTTTGTCATTGAAATACAGTATATCGATCTATTTGCAACTTACGAGCCCAAATTGACAACAGAACCAAGCTTCAATTTAGGCAACAATGTTTATTCGCAATTTACAAATAGTCGACCCAAATGTCCTTCTGACAATAAATATAACAGTTACAAAACAAACATTCAATTTCGTATGTTCCCGGAGGAAAAACTCTCAAGCACCAAACCAAAAGCAAACCCAAATGACCGAAAACAATTATATAAACAAACAAGTTCAGATGTTGAATAGAACAAACGCATCCCAAAACACGGATAAGTGACCAATATTCAGTATAATTTTTCTAATCAGCCAAATGACTTCAGTTCTCCTGTGAGGGGTAGAGACGGCTTTTGCTGGTCAAGAGTTCGAAAAATATAAATACACAACGACAAAACCAAAAAATATAAGTTTCAACCGTTGCGAACATTCCTTTCAAGTCTGATTAAAACAATCAGTCCTTTACTCACTGAAGATGATTGTTTCAATTGAAAAAATTAATCTCCTTGAATTCCCGAAAATTCAAAGATTCATAGAAAGGCTGATTATCTGGAGTAGTGACGCCAAACGTCGAGAGTAGAAAGGTATTCATACTTATCATGTATTCTGGCTAAAGGAGGTAGACGAAAGCGAGATTAAATAGGATTCACTCTCACCGAGTCTATAGGAAAGTGTAGTCGAGCGTTCTATTAACGCAGGGTTATAGCAAGGTCTTAATACTCACAGATATTTAAATGAGCAGTTGTTGACACTTAGGGTTTGTAAGTTTGGTGAAATTCCTTCCACAATGTTTATAGTGTGATGCGTTTTGTATCTTTCTGAATTACCACCTCACTAATGCGGGATATGTAAGGATATGTACATATAACTAGGTACTTGGCTACTGTGATACTGAACTAGTAACCCAATAGCATAAATTTATATCTTCAGAAATCAGCTAAAGATTTTGTATCATAAACATTGGCACTGCGCGTGACAGGTTCAATGGAGATGAACGGCAGTGGTGTAATGGGGTAACTATCGTCAGATCACACCAAGCGATGAATAACTGTACTGGATTACTCTTATCAGAGTGACTGGGCAATTCTCCTATTCTGGTGTCCACGCAGGATGAAAACAAACTTACCATGTAAAAATTTTGTTTAGACATAAAGTGGGTAGAAAAATAAGGTGCATAAGTAAAAAAATCTACCTCGAGGCCCAGTCTCATGATATTTGTTTTTCGATTCGCATCATTCATCCTTGGTCTTGATGGTGACAGACGAAATATTTGACCTTCAGTAATTTGCCATTCTAATCGATACATAATTTGGTACGATTTCATTAGCTCCCTAGGACTTCACCATTAGTGAAAATTTTAAGGTCTAACTAGTAGGCTTTTAACACGTTAATTGCTTTGCCATGACGAAACACAAATTTAGAGACATTGTGACTTTATGATTTAGTCCTATATTAGTTTGTTCATCTTTGATGCTATAATAATGGACCACATCCCGAAGTCGTAGACCTGTCATGGTGTGACCCCCAGATCTATGAGATCTTACATGGAAGTCACACCATTGTCTATTCTGACCCGCTGAACGTGACAATCAACAGTATGATGTTTAGCATATTCGAAAATCATGTTTGGGCTGGGGATAAAACAATATATTTATTGTGAATAAGGATAAGTTACACAGAGCGACAACTGCATAGTCGGACCATTTCATATAAAAAATTGTTTTCACGATCACTACTTTTCAACCTTCTCTAAGCGTTGCATATGGGATGTAAATATTCGCAGTAACTATTTGCTCGGCTTCAAAGATCGTGTGGTTAAAGACCAATGCCACTGCGCTATTCTCTCACAAGAATCAACATAACGTTGGTTTTATTCTTAGCACGCGTAAAGTGAAAATCAACTTGAATATTACTTAAGGTTGGGATTATCATAACGAAGATTGGTTCATCACAGAAATATTCTAACAAGTCACATTAAGATACTAAGTAATAGCAGCTGAATAACAGCCAAACTTAAGGAAGCATTGTTTATGTATCAGAAGTAGGCTGACTGAAGGAACAAATTTATAACCACGAAGATGGGTAATTCTACCTAGTGTTTCAGTTAGTTTTTATGTTCAATACTGTTTATTTATTTGCGGGGGGATTTTCCATTTCCCATTTACTAATACATATGAATTGTTATCAAAAACGCTTTTAATACGTGGAACTAGTGGTAATGTGAATTTTGGAGAGATAGCTGACGGTAGTTCTTTGAACGTGGGTGCATCCGTTGGAGACATAATCTAGACTTAATGTTACGATTTGCATTAGACAAATTAGTTATACGGACACATTTTGGTAGATGGTTTATACAAGTTAGTTGCGAGCATCGAGTTTGGTACAAGGTAGAAATTGACTAATCTGAAATGTTGTGGTTATACGTTGTTGAAATCGGCAAAGCGTATGTGACACAAATACAAGTGACGTGGTTCTGCACGGTGCTTTTGGTCTAATAAATCTTTACAAAATGACAAACAGCGAGTGCTGCTCATGTAATTATCAAGAAGAGTATTAGTTGCAATCAAGAGGCGTACAACTCCTAACTCATATCTATGATAAAAGAATAAATCTTTGTTAGTGTTAAGGTGAACACAACAGTGATGTTTATAGTTTGCAGGAGATTTGTTCGACTGCCTATACTGATGATATGCATGCAATATTGTAACACAAAACTTTTAATTAGACTGAAAATGTTTCAAGGTATTTGTCAAATGATCAAGTGATAGAGCAACATACTAATATCTTCTATAATAAATAAAGACAATCACGAAAAATCAACACCATTTAATGGTAGCTATCTGTCAATTTGTCGATCGAGTTTGCGCTAATGGTCGCATCAATTTTATCAGTCATATTAAGTGATCGTTAAGCCATGACAATGCTTTATGATGATATACGGAAACCATTAGGAATAACTCGTTATATTGTTGATTGGTGATTAGCTAGTTGGAAATAGGTGTTTTTGTTCTAAGCTATTCTGAAACATTAGAAGTTTCCGGCATTAAAGAATTCGATTTGCCTTACTGTATTACAGGTTGTGGTCCAGAAATACTGGTTCACTTAGTGTTGATTTTAGCAATGGGCTACATAGTTTTCATTTAAAAAGCTTGCTTAACTGACATACATCGGTGCAATACGGTAATAGCTTAATGAGGCGACTTAATCATCTTAACTATGTTTAATATCGTTTTGGAAAACCGATTTGATAACCCGATCGATAAACGCTAATACGTATAGCAATAACGACTATGATGGGTTTTGGTAGAAATTGTTGAAGGCAGTTCAAATAATTTTTAAATTCAGATGGCATAGAGATGATATAATTTAGCGAATATACAAGTCAGGGGGAACTAAAT